TTTGGCCATCTCATCTAAGTTGTTAAAATGTATGTATGTAGACTTGCCCATAGTAGTCCTACACCTAGCCTTGTGATGTGTACAGAGCCTATAGTGACAGTTTCTATCTTATGCGTGATATTGGTAGTTTGTATCTTCTCTCTTTTTTTCATTTTTTAGTCAGTTTATAGATCTTTTGAAAATAACTCTGTTGCATTGCTTTTTCCTCTGTTGTTTTTCTGTTCAATTTTATTTATTTCTACTCTTTAATAATATTTATTTCTGGCTGGGTATGGTGACTCACGCCTATAATCCCAGCACTTTGAGAGGCTGAGGTGGGTGGATCACCTAAGGTCAGGAGTTTGAGACGATCCTGGCCAACATGGTGAATGAAACCTGGTCTCTACTTTAAAAATATAAAAATTAGCAGAGGATGGTGGTAGGCACCTGTAATCCCAGCTACTCAACAGGCTGAGGCAGGAGAATCACTTGAACACTGGCAGCAGAGGTTGCAGTGAGCCAAGATCATGCCACTGCACTCCAGCCTGGGTGACAGAGCAAGACTCTGTCTCAAAAAAAAAAAAATTATTTCCTTTTAATTGCTCTGAGTTTATTTTGCTCTGCATTTTTCTAGGTTTTTGAAGTAAGAACTTAGAATATTGATTTGAGACTTTTTTCTTTGTTTTGTTTTGTTTTGTTTTTTCTTTTGATACGGAGCTCCGTTGCCCAGGTTGGAGTGCAGTGGCATGATCTCCGGTCACTGCAATCTCTGCCTCCTGGGTTCAAGCGACTCGTGCCTCAGCCTCCCAAGTAGCTCAGATTACAGGCACGCACCACCACACCCAGCTAATTTTTGCATTTTTAGTAGACATGCGGTTTCACCATGTTAGCCAGATGGTCTTGATCTCCTGACCTCAGGATCCACCCGTTTCAGCCTCCCAAAGTGAGATTATAGGCGTTAACCACTGCTCCCAGCTGACTTTTTTCTTTTTTCATGTAAGCTTTCAGTTCCATAAAATTTCCTCTCAGTATTACTTTAGCTGTTTCTCACAAGTTTTAATAGGTTAAATTTTTATTTTCATTTAGTTCAGTGTTTTTACATTTTCATTGAGACTTCCTCTTTGACTCTTGGATTACTTAGAAATATGTTGTTTAATTTCCAAGTGTTTGGAGAATTTCATGCTATCTTTCAGTTATTGATTTTTTATTTTGATTCCACTGTGATCAGAGAATATACTCTATATGATTTCAATTCTCTTAAATTTGTTTAGATATATCATATGGCCCATAATATGGTCTCTCCTAGCATGTTTTGTGGGCACCTGAAAAGTTGTTTGGTGGTGTGTTCTATAATGTCAACTAGAACTTGTTTATTGATCGTGGTGGTGTGCTCTAATGTATTCTTTCTGATATTCTCTCTAGTTCTATCTGCCTTCTATATCTGGAGTTTTCCGTACTCCAAAATCTGCTTCTTATGATATTAATATAGCACCCCCACTATATTTTAATCAATGTTTATATGATGTATCTTTACCCATTTTTTATTTTTATCCTACCCATATTTCTATATTTGAAGTTAGTTTCTTGTAGACAGCATATAGATGGATTATAAATTTACTCCGCCAATCTCTGTCTTCTGATTGGTTTATTTAGACCATTTATATTCAATGTAATTATTGATACATTAGGACTTAAGTGTACCTTTTCACTTTTTGTTTTCTTTGTTCTCTGGTTTTTATTTGTTTTCTTTTTCCTGTTTCATATGAGTTACTTGTACATTAAATTTTTTAGAATTTTATTTATAAAGTTTTGGTGAATATCTCTTTTTATAGATGTTTTAATTCATGCTCTGGATATTGCATATATGTAACTTAACACAGTCTACTGGATCAACATTTTACCAGTTTCTGTGAATTATAGAAACCTTATCCCTTTATATTCCCTTTCCCTCCTTATTTATGATTATCTTTAATGTTTTCTCTGCATACATTTAGAACCACCTCAGACAGTGTTATATTTTTTATTATAATAAAAATTTGGAAAACTCAGGAGGAGTAGGAAAGTGTATTGTATTTACTTGTGTTATTTTATCTATAGCCTTCTATCTTTTTCTTCCGGCAGGTCCTTGGTTCCATTTGGGTTTTTTTTTCCTAAGTCTATTTTCCCTTTATTATTTATATTGGGTCCTTTTTTCTATTTTTGTCTTGGAGTTTATTGATTCTGTTATCTTTCTCTTCCCTTCTGCTGTTGAAACTATTCACTGAGTTTTTTATTTTCACTATTTTTTCAGTTCTGAAACTTCTATTTTTAATAAATATTTATTATGTTATTTTTTTGCTGAGGCATTGTTTTTTTTCATTTGTCTCAAGTGCATCGAGATTGCTTATTACAGCATTTTAAAATAGCTGCTTTAGAATCTTTGCCAGATGATTCTAACATTTATGTTTTCTCAGCATTTATTAATTGCCTTTATTCATTCAAGTTGAGATTTTTCATGGTTCTTGGTATAACAAGTGATTTTGATAGAAACATGGACATTTGGAGTATTGAATTTTAAGACTCTGGATCTTATTTAAACCTCTTTTAGGTAGCTTCATCTAACACTGCTCTGGTAGGAAAAAGTGAGGAGTGGAGTGGGGTTGTTACTGCCAGATGGAGAGGGAAGTCCAGGTTCCTCAGTTGACACTTCAGAGAGGGAGACTTTGCTTGCTCCTGAAGCTCCCTGCTAAGCCTCTGCTGGCAGACATCACAGCCATTCTTTACGTGCCTTCTGCTGACAACACTGGAAGGGTAGGAGGGTAGAGGGTAGAAATCCTGATTCTCTGCCACACTTTCTCTCGCAACAGCCTAGAGGGGCAGGGAAGGGTGCTTGGTTACTACCGTCAAGTGCAGGTGAAGTCTTGGCCCCAGGTAGTCTCTCCACTGTCACAACGAGGGGGATACTCATTGCAGGCCTGGTGGGGGATGAAAGTCTCAGCTCTGCCAGGCATGGCGGCTCACGCCTATAATCCCAGCACTTTGGGAGGACAAGGCAGCAGATCACCTGAGGTCAGGAGTTCGAGACCAGCCTGGCCAACATGGTGAAACCCCATCTCTACAAAAATACAAAAATTAGCTGGGCATGATGGTGGGTGCCTGTAGTCCCAGCTACTCGGGAGGCTGAGGTGGGAGAATCGCTTGAACCCTGGAGGCAGAGGTTGCAGTCAGCTGAGATCATGCCATTGCACTCACTCCAGCCTAAGCAACAGAGCAAGATTCCACGTCAAAAAAAAAGAAAGAAAAGAAAAGGATGTCAGCTCCCTGGCCCACCTTCTCTCATACACCAGCTGGAATACTGGGAGCTCTCATTACAGCCCAGTGAGGGGGAAGTCCAGGTCCTCACTTGGCCTATGCATAGGGACAAGTCATAGGTTTTCCGTGATGTTTACCTAGAGTAGAGCAGTTACCATCTAAGAGTTTGCTGCCTTGCTAGGCTGCCTCTTCCTTGGTTCTTGGTTAAAGAGAGTAGGCTTTGGTAGGGCTTTTTCATCAGCACCTGTTGCTGTTTCCTGCTTACTGGCTCCTTCAACTCAAAACCTGAGATATAAGAGGCGAAAATAAAACTCAGGGCCAGGCACAGTGGCTCACACCTGTAATCCTAGCACTTTGGGAAGCCGAGGTGGGTGGATCACTTGAGGTCAGGAGTTTGAGACCAACCTGGCCAGCATGGCAAAACCCTGTCTCTACTAAAAAAATACAAAAATTAACTGGGCGTGGTGGTGCATGCCTGTTATTCCAGCTACTCAGGAGGCTGAGGCATGAGAATCGTTTGAACCAGGGAGGCAGAAGTTTCAGTGAGCTGAGACCATGCCACTGCACTCCAGCCTGGGCGACAGAGCAAGACCCTGTCTCAAACAAAGAAAAAACCCAGGAATTTGCCACGGTGTCATTCCTAAGGTCCTGAGGTCTCTGGGTTTTAGCCTGTCTGGCTCCTCTCCACTTCTCAGTGTCTTCTTAGGTTTACTTTACATATATTGTCAAGCATTTTAGTTGTACTTAATGAGAGGAATGGGGAAAAGTGTGGTACACCATCCTCCCAGAATCAGAAGTCACAAATTTTTCTCTTTTTTCTTTTTTTTTTGAGACAGTCTCACTCTGTCACACAGGCTGAAGTGCAGTGGTGTGATTTCGGCTCACTGCAACCTCCGCCTCCGGGTTCAAGCAATTCTGCCTCAGCCTCCCAAGTAGCTGGGACTACAGGCACACACCACCATGCCCAGCATTTCTTTTACTAAAAAAAAAAAAAATTTTTGTGTTTTTAGTAGAGACAGGGTTTCACCATGTTAGCCAGAGTGGTCTCCATCTCTTGACCTCGTGATCCACCCACCTCAGCCTCCTAAAGTGCTGGGATTGCAAGTGTGAATCACCACTCCCGGCCCCAGATTTTTCTTGATGTTAAGCAGTACCCTGTTATAAGGAATAGGCATTAAAGTGTTTTCTCCTGTCCAAGGACTGAGAAGAACCAGGAGAATTTGTCTGCTCTATTTCCTGACTCCTTTTCTATTAATACTCAAATGTGAGGCATTGAGCAACTATAGTCAGTTTGATAGCAAAGGTAGATACTCCTTTGGCATTTAATGGTATGTTCTTTGAAAGCTTAGAGCTGTTGAAATGTCTGAAGTTTTTATTTGCACATTTTATTTCATCGTTTGGGCACTTTTTTCAGGCTGTTGACAGTTTTTGTTCACCCTCTGTATTTCCCCCTGAGGAGTCTTGAAGCCATACTGGGAGGGCACAAGGGCGCAAGCCCAAGGACTTAGGCTTCTTCCATCCCTTCCTGACACAGGGCTCTCACTAGAACAGTGAAATCAGACTCACTGGAGGTCATGCTGGAGCGTGAAGGTCAGCTGTCCTTCTGAGGGCAGGCTTGGCTCTAGCTGTCCATAGCAGGCGAGTCATTGCTCTTTGCATTCCTGATCAGCAACAATATGAGGGGACTCCAGTATTGTAAAGAAACAGTTGCATGTCTTTCTCTTTTCCAGGCAAAAACTAATTATTCCAAATGGAAGCTGCCCTGTTATTCTGAATACTTATTTTTGTGAGAAAGTTGTTGCCAAAGAAGATTCAGAAAAAGCTTGTGAAGTGTACTGTCCGGACATACCCCTTCCAAGAAGAAGCATCTCTTTGGCCCAGATGTTTGTAGTTAAGGGTCTAACAAATAATTCACCTGAAATTCAGGTAAACTCTCGTTGGCTTAAAGGTTTTTTTATGCTTGTAATAATATTAGCGACTGGATTTGGAAGAGCTTTAGTATAAGTAAAGATGTTTACTTTTTGTCTCCCTCTGAAAAACCCACCACAAGTATATATGCTGAAGGGTCTTACTGTTATGCCTGACTATATTATAGTTCAGTTTAGCATTTTGTGGTGCTCTTTTTACAGTATTCCGTGTTTCTAATTGTATATCTTTAATCTTTGTTCTAATTCACTAAAATAGAGTCACGCATCATTTAACAACAGGGATATGTTCTGAGAAAGTTGTCATTAGGTGATTTCGTCATTTTGTGACCATCGTGGAGTGTACCTACACAAACCTAGATGGTCCAGCCCACAACACACCTAGACTATATGGTATGGCTGATTGTTCCTCGGCTACAAACCTGCACAGCATGTTACTATGCTGAATACTGTAGGTAATTGTAACACAGTGGTAAGTGCTTGTGTATGTAAACATACCTAAACATAGAAAAAGGATAGTAAAAATACAGTCTAAAAGATAAAAAAATGGTACACCTGTGTAGGGCACTTACCATAAATAGAGCCTATAGGACTGACAGTTGCTCTGAGTGAGTCAGTGAGTGAGTGGGAGTGAGTGTGAAGGCCTCAGACACTACTGTACACTACTGCAGACTTTATAAACACTGAGCATTTACACTATACTAAATTTAAAACTTTTTGTCTTTCTTCAGTAGTAAGTTAACCTTGACTTACTGTAACTTTCTAACTTTAGAAACTTTATATTTTGTATTAACTTTTTTATCCTTTTATAGAAACACTTAGCCTACAACACAGATATATTGTACAGCTGTACAAAACTATTTTTTTATTTTTAATTTTTTTAATATACTTTTAAAACTTTTCTGTTGTAAACTAAGACACACACACATTAGCCTAGGCCTTCACAGTGTCAGGACCATCAGTATCACCATCTTCCACCACTGGAATGTGTTGACGGATAATAACGTGCATGAGGCTGTCATCTCCTTGGGTAACTATGCCTTCTTCTGGATACCTCCTGAAAGACCTGCCTGAGGATGTTTTACAGATAACTTGTTTTTTAACAAGTAGAATACTCTAAAATAACAATAAAAAGTATAGTACAGTAAATACATAAACCAGTAATGTTGTTTATTATTATCAAATATTAGGTACTATATGTAACAGGATGTGCTAGACTTTTATGCAGCCAGCAGCACACTACTTCTGTCGACACCAGCATCACCAGAAACGTGAATACATCACCAGGAACAGGAATTTTTCAGCTCCATCATAGTCTTATGAGACCACTGTTATACATGCTGTCCATTGCTGACAGAAGCATCATTATACAGTGCATGCTGGTATTTGACAACATTCATTTTCTCTATTCTTGTAATTGTCTAAGAATTTTTTTAAAGCCCTCTTTTGTTTAAAAACTCAAATTTTTTTTTTCACAATATCTATTATCCCTTGGGATAAAAAGAACTGTGTAAGCTTGAGATTATATGCTGGAGTTGTTTTTTGGAATTTTATTGGTCCTAAACCATGGTCATGTACCAGCATGAATTTAGGGAACCACTAAAATACACTTGCTGTGGGAATGAATGGCCCCTGGGACCACCCTAAGCTCTGAATGTTCATGTGGCTCCCGGTGCACTGGCATCAAGGTCTGGGTTATATAAATTGTCACTGAACAGAATGCTTTCTGAGACTGACAGAACAAGGGAGGAGGAATATGAAAGAAAAGTAGACAAACTTTCAAGCTGTTTTGTACCAGCTGGTCAAGCAAAATCTCTTTTGATTATCAAAAGAAATATCTGGAGAGGATTATATGAAAAGGAGGACTCTCAAATCAATTTAATTGTAACAGATTAAAAGTATGGCTCAAAGCACATTACTGTTTTAACACATGGTTTTTAAACAGCTATGTAATATTAATCCCATGAGAAATATTTTTGTATCTTGACAGTGATAATGAAACTACATGTAGCATAATGATTAAACATGTGGACTTTGGAACTAGATGACCTGGTTCAAATCTTGCCTCAGCCACTTCCTGCTAGGTCACCTTACGCAAGATGTGTGGTCTCTGTGTCTCAGTTTTCTTATCTGTAAAATGGAAATAGTGATATTATCTATCTTCTTGGGTGGTTGTGTGAGGATAAGCATGTTTAATATGCAAATTTAAAAGCCTGGAATATAGGAAGCACTCTAGAAGTGTTGTTTTATTATGACAGCTGATATTACAAGAGGGGTTGTGGGGAGAATATATAAGCATGTAAAATGCTTAGCCTAGGAGATTGCACATCAAGCATTTAATAAAATGAAGCATTTGTGTATTCATTCCTAGTCACTGTTTTATCTTCATTTTTAGTTTGTTCTGTTGTAATTTCTTGAATTATTTTATTAGCAGAACTTTCTGCGTGTTTTCAAAGACCTGCCTGGTGTAGCAAACATTTTACTGTGGTCCTTGTTCTTTCACTCACTTTCAGCTTACAGTCCTAGCCGCCTGGCAGGCCTAGAGACCCACGCCTCAAGTTCCTTTATTTTCATCTTCATCATCACTTCAGTGCAGTACAGATCTATTGTGGGGGCTGCTTAAGAATGTCATTATTTGGTGTGCAGCATGCTACTTCTTGTTAGCCACACTAAAACTTTGTGAGTCTTGAAACTGTTCCCTTTGTGTGTCTTGGCCAGGTTATGTGTAGTGGTATAGCCACCACGGGGACAGCCTGGACCCACTGGCATAAAGAAGCAAAACAACATATCCCAATCGATGCTCCCCTGAGGGATTCTCTCTTGGACGTGGTGGAAAGCCAGGGAGCTGCCTCGTGGTCAGGAGCTGGGGTCCGAGTGGTGGTGCAAAGAGTATACTCTCTTCCCAGCAGAGACAGCACCAGGGGTCAGCAGGGGACCAGCACAGGACACACAGAGTCAACTGGAACTCGGTGAGTGCCAAGATGCTGGTGTGGGGTGGGGAGGAACAGTCACTTAGAGTGCCCCAGGAAGTGGAGACTCTTCCCAGAGTCACCTTCTTAGCTGCATTCACCATACACATGGGCTGTTTCTGTTTTTCCTTGCCTCAAAATGTGGGATACATAGTATGACAAAGGATTTTATCTATCTACTTAATTTTAAAGTCCTATTAAAAATTAAACTTGCTGCATTTTCTTTTACCTTTAATGGTCCATATTCTTGAAAGTAAAAACATACAAGAAATATTGATATTGTTCTGGAAAAGCCAAGACATGTGGTTGTCATACCTCAAAAGACCCAGTTTTACATGCCTTGAAAATCAGAGCAATTGGTAAACTTGTGGCTTTCAGAGAGTACTGTATCAACCATCTGCACTGCCTATTAGAACTTTCTGCAGTGATGTAAATGTTGTCTGTCTGCACCATCCAATGCAGTATGTGCAGACAGATGTAGTAGAAGTGATGTCTCTGCTCAGATTTAGCCCCTTCTTGGTGTTGGTTTTTACTGATAGCTGTAGATGCATGATTGACAGAGAGGTTTGTTTGTTTACATTCAGAGTCTAGGCATAGTCTTTTTTGTTTTTTGCAACCTCCGCCTCTGGGGTTCAAGAGATTCTCGTGCCTCACCCTCCCAAGTAGCTGGGATTACCGGCATGCACCATGCCTGGCTGATTTTGTATTTTTAGTAGAGACAAGGTTTTGCTGTGTTGGCCAGGCTGGTCTCAAACTGCTGGCCTCAAGTGATCAAACTGCCTCAGCCTCCCAAAGTGCTGGGATTACAGGCGTGAGCCACCACACCCAGTCTGGCATAGCATTTTGAAGTTATCTCTAGCAATGTTAATTGCCTTCAAAGAAGTAAGATAGATTTGCAGCAGAATAGAAACTAAAAGTATAGATGCCACTTTGTCATTTTAACTATTAATAAGAAAACACATTGTGAAGAAACAGTAATTAACAATCATCCTGGCCAGGCATGGTTGTTCACACCTGTAATCCCAGTACTGTGGGAAGAGTTCTAGGCAGGCAGGTCACTTGAGCCCAGGAATATTAGACAAGCCTAGGCAAGATGGCAAGACCCCTTCTCTAATGTAAAGATAAGCAATCATCCTAACGTTACACTGCCTTCTGATGCCAGAGGGAGAAACAGGATACACTCCTGTGTGAATTATGAATCAACTTCAAGTGAAGGCACTTTATTTAAAAATACTATAATTTCAGAAAGTCCCCTTGAGGTCTAGAGTTGGAGAATGTTTCTTTTGGGGTTACAGAAAAACAAATGATTCTTTTTTGGAATTTGTATGTTTATGAAATCAATTAAGTCAGTTTTAAGGTCTTTACCATGACTTATAGATGTAGACCAGTCTTGTACCCTTTGCCCTAAATCTGTGGTAAATTTATATAGACTTTTCTAAGACAGCTCTATATCAGACATAGGTTTTTGTTTTGCTGTTTTGTTTTGCTTGGCTTTTTAAATGACACATTCAGTGTTAGGTTTTGAAAAAGGGAATACTAGTTACCTTGGCAAGGAGGAACTCGGTAGAGCTTCTTCATCTCAGGACAGAGAACACATACTCCAAGGGCACTCCCAAGGAAACAGAGATGATGGGGGACTGAGTCACCCTGATGAGAAGGAACAATGAAACTGACAGTGCAGTTGCTTCCTATGACTAATCACAACCAATGCACGTTGTGAAGGCTGTCTCTTTAGGTTCTTCAGTGGCACTTATTTTACTTGCTGAGCAAAGAGAGAAAAATTAGAAGCCAAAATATGGTGAATTGCTATCAGTGTGAAGGGTATCGTGAATGCTTTCGAGTTGTACTTTGGAATACATGTGGTGACATATCCAATGAGAATATGCTTGTAGTAGGGTGAAAGAAGGCCAGGCATGAACTTCAAAAACAAGAAAACAACATCCAGTTATTCAGAGGTATTGAATATGCATTCTGTGTGCTGCATTTTCTGTAGCACATCTGAGATTGCACAACACTGAGGCTAGACAATATTATTCCCATTCTGCAGATGAAACTGAACCTCAAGGAGAATCTCACTGCTGACGGTTATACAGGTAGACACAAAGAAAAATGTAATGGGATATAGAATCCCAGATGGCATGGTTGTAGAGTGTTAGAATTTAAAAGAAAAAGGATAAAATTGAGTTAGAACCAAGCCATATTTAGATTAAGGCTGACCCAGGATCAAGTTGTCCAGGGCAGAAGAAGTGCCAAGTGCCTTGCCCTGGGTATACTTGGTTGGACTGTGTACAAAAATGAACTTTTGAACTAAGGGCCATAGTGTTGGCCTTGAGTTTGAGGACAGAGCTGCTGAGATGTCTTTTGGGTACAAGATCTGATCATTGATATTTTCTAGATTCTTTTGCTGTGATAATGATCAGGCTCTCTAGTTTACATATCAAATTAATATAGAAGTAAAATTGAACTTTATTCACCACTAATTCTTTGCTAATATATTTAGAAAGAAAAACTTAGAGAATGTATCTGCCTTTGAGACACATTTAGTAGTAAGCATTCTAAGGCAGTTTTTTATACATGTACATGTAGCACAAACATCACTAGAAGATGTGTGGCCTGGAAGATTTTCTACCTGTGATTTCTGCCTTCAGGTTCCTGATCATAGATGACATATGGAATGCTCTGTGGGTCCCACAAGATGGACAAATTTAGGCTCAGCTAGTATAGACTCATCAACACAGCACACACAGAAGAAGGAAAATTGCATAAGCAATGACCCCTTCCAACTAAAGGCAGCTCTAAGTCTGGTTTCCTTGTTTTTTGGAATGGCTTTTCTTAAGCTCTTGTCATTATCTGCTCTACCCCAGAGATCTTTCAAACTATCATTGAACTTAAAAACAACCTTGATCACTGTGTTTTCTGTGAAGTCCAGAAATTACCATGTCAGAAGAAATTAAGCCTGGGTGAAAAGAAACCACAGTGTCTTATGGCAGATTTGTTTGCCTCAGTAGTTCCCCCTTCCCCACCCAGCCCAGGTCAGGTGGTTGCTGATGAAACCCTGCGGTAAATTTGCCTCAGTTGACTTCGCACCTTGATCGTAGGTGTCAACCTCAGTCTGCTCCCAGTGCTCGGGCAGTGTCATTTTTCTGATATCAGTAACAGCTTATCTTCTGATGGCTGACAGCTCAATTAGTGCCCACTTCAAAATTAAGAGAAATTTTTTGAAGCAGCTAGTTCTGTTCAGGGTCAGATAGATTCTATCAAAAGGTTCCTGTCCTCTGCACTGTGAAACATTATCAGAAATATACTTTACACTTCAGAAATATAATATGTCAGAGTACCCTGTCCATTGTTCTTCTGGATGACTTCCTTTAATTCAAGCTATTAATGAAAACATTTCTGTGAGGTTCTCAAGGTGTTGTAGGTCAGAGTAACCAACACAAACTTGTTTTATAAATCACTAAAATCAAAGGTAACAAAAAACGAATGCAAAAGGCACTCCCTAACCACAGGGTAGGCAGTCTGTTCGGCGCCTGTAAACAGCTTTGTTATAGATCCACTGCATGTTGGATGATCATTAGATAAATGCATGATTAGTAAAACCTTAGGCCTTTTTTAAAAATATACTTTAAATTCTGGGGTACATGTGCAGATCATTCAGGACTGTTACATAGGTATACACATGCCATGGTGGTTTGCTGCCTCCATCCCCCTGTCACCTGTATACATTAGGTATTTCTCCTAGTTATCCCTCCCCAATCTCCCCACCCCCTGCTATCCCTCCCCTAGCCCCACACCCCCCCAACAGACCCCAGTGTGTGATATTCCCCTCCCTGTGTCCATGTGTTCTCATTGTTCAACACCCATTTATGAGTGAGAACATGTAGAGTTTGGTTTTCTGTTCTTGTGTCAGTTTCCAGAGAATGACGGTTTCCAAGTTCATCAATGTCTCTGCAAAGAGCATGAACTCATCCTTTTTTATGGCTGCATAGTATTCCATGGTATATATGTGCCGCATTTTCTTTATCCAATCTATCCTTGATGGGCATTTGGGTTGGTTCCAAGTCTTTGCTATTGTAAACAGTGCTGCAGTGAACATACGTGTGTATGTATCTTTATAACAGAATGGTTTATAATCCTCTGGGTATATACCCAGTAATGGGATTGCTGGGTCAAATGGTATTTCTATTTCTAGATCCTTGAGGAATCGCCACACTCTCTTCCACAATGATTGAACTAATTTACACTGCCAGCAACAGTGTAAAAGCATTCCTATCTCCACATCCTCTCCAGCATCTGTTGTCTCCAGATTTTTTAATGATCGCCATTCTAACTGGCATGAGATGGTATCTCAATGTGGTTTTGATTTGCATTTCTCTAATGACCAGTGATGATGAGCATTTTTTCATATGTTTGTTGGCGGCATAAATGTCTTCCTTTGAAAAGTGTCTGTTCATATGCTTCACCCACTTTTGGATTTTGTTTGTAAATCACCACTTTTGTTTTTTTCTTGTAAATCTCTTTTAGTTCTTTGTATATTCTGGATATTAGCCCTTTGTCAGATGGGTAGATTGCAAAAATTTTTTCCCCTTCTGTTGGTTGCCGATTCAGTCTAATGATAGTTTCTTTGCTGTGCAGAAGCTCCTAAGTTTAATTAGATCCCATTTGTCTATTTTGGCTTTTGTTGCCAATGCTTTTGGTGTTTTAGTCACGAAGTCCTTGCCTATGCCTATGTCCTGAGGTATTGCCGGGTTTTCTTCTAAGGTTTTTATGGTGTTAGGTCTTATGTTTAAATCTTTAATCCATCTAGAGTTAATTTTTATATAAGGTGAAAGGAAGGGGTCCAGTTTCAGCTTTCTGCACATGGCTAGCTAGTTTTTCCAACACCATTTATTAAACAGGGAATCCTTTCCCCATTGCTTGTTTTTGTCAGGTTTGTCAAAGATCAGATGGTTATAGCTGTGTGGCATTACTTCCGAGGCCTCCCTTCTGTTCCATTGGTC